ATCATCAACTACGTTGCTGATGGCGGGCGGAATGTTCGAGATTCATTTCTGAATCTCGGTCAGTTCGTCACCAGCGTGATGGCAGCATCAGCCGGGTCGGATCGTGCAGCGCCGCAGGAGCGCTGCGCGCGCATGCCCGATCGCGACACGAGGCGACGGCGCTTCTTCACGTTCGTTACCGGGGCTTTTTGGCTCATGGCAACCGTACCTAGTACACGCGTCGTGTAGTGCTTAAGGGATGCTGGAGTGATTCTGCACTTTTGCACCTTTCTAACCTAAAAACAGTCAGTTCGCGGAAACATTTGTGTAATATACAAATTAAATGGCTTACGTGTACAGATCAAAAGAAGCTTGCTATTCCGGCCAAATGAAAGAACAATATGGCATCACTGAAACTAAGTTTGTAAGTCTAATAAAAAATAATGGTGAGCAACACACATACTACATGTACTGTATGTATGTGTTGCTCACTATTATTTTTTATTAGACTTACAAACTTAGTTTCAGTGATGTCATATTGTTCTTTAATTTAGCCGGAATAGCAAGCTGCTTTCGATCATCTGTACACGTGCCATTTAATTTGTGTATTACACAAATCTTTCCACGAAACAGACAGTTTTAAGTGCAAAAGGTGCGAAAGTGCAGAATCACTCCAGCATCCCCTTAAGACTTTTAGAGTGCTCTTGTGGACTTTTCTCATCCGAGAATTGACTCAGTGCGGACAAAAGTGAACACTCAGCAGTGCGAATCATCCAGGACTAAAGATACAGCATCAACGGCAGCTCAAACTCACCACGCAACGCACGCCGGCGCCGCGTAGACACGGCTCACGGGCATCTACATTCACGAGGCCGGCTATCGATAAATAATATCGACCCGTGCAAGTGATTAAAGACTTCTCATTCCCGTTATATCATAGACTGCTCAACTGTAAGCATTTTTACATTTATTAAACGGTGACACGGTATTTTACTCAAACGACCTGAGTTACGATTACGTGATATTCCACCCTCTCACGCGTGCATCCGTTCCCCGAGTCTCTCACCGCAAAGTCCTCTCACCCTGCTTCCATCCGCAGCGGTAACCAGCGAACTCTCCTCGCGAGATTCGCGAACAGAAGGGAAAGAAGAGCAACGCGTTTCAAATTTTGTGTGAAGTTGAGGAAAACTTTTACCGAAACTTTTCATATGTTGCAAACAGCTTTTGAGGATGAATGTTTGAATTGTTCAAAGTGTCACGAATGGTTCAAAAGGTTCAAAGAAGGACGGACATCAACCACAGACGATCCTCGTTCAGGACGCCCAACAGGACACACAAAACTCGACGCATGTGCAGTTTTTCTGTTAAAATTTCTTGGCATGAACCAATGAAATACTCGTATTGCATTCCTCTGCCATTTCCCGAATGGTTAGACGACGATTCGAACGCACGAGGTCATTCACTTGGGCAACATGATCGTCGTCAGTCGAAACTGGGTGCTTTCCAATTGCAATATCCCTAGACACTTTCGTGCACACGGCAACACAAATGGTGTTCCAAGTGTCACAAATGTCGACACACCTCTACACATTCGTACTCAGCCTGAGGGCTACTAGTCGGCTGTGTAAACTTGTGTTTTCTAGTGACAAATAATAGTTACTAAGTACGGCGGCTACAAGTGATCGGCATATTCCTTTGCTACGACGGTTTACTATAGGTACATATAAAAGGGAAAAAAGAAGTGAGGTTACGTCTGATATCATTCTGGTGCATAAGTAATACCGAAGTGGGAGGAGGAAAATACGCAAGTACGGCACACATTTTTTTCTTTTTACTCAATAATGAACAACGGCAATATTCAGAGTATCATTGAGGTAATAAATATTTTGAATCAACATTAGGTGACGCAGTTTCGATCACCACCATGGATTAAAAATACCAAGCATGGATACTATACTACTTTGTGTACTCTTTGTGGTATATTTTGTTCCAATTGAGTCGTGCACATCGCGACACTTTGTGTCTTCTTGTGTACGTTTGTGTTAAAAAGTGTAAAATAATTGGAAAGCACCCACTGTTGGGCGTCCTGAACGAGGATCGTTTGCGGTTGATGTCCGGCCTTCTTTGAACCTTTTGAACCATTCGTGACACTTTGAACGACTCAAACATTCATCCTCAAAAGCTGTTTGCAACATGTGAAAAGTTTCGGTAAAAGTTTTCCCCAACTTCACACAAAATCACGAAATCGCCAAACACAAAAAAGTTCTGTTCACTGAAACAGCTTAAAACAGTTACTCCGCTTCAGAACGTCTTATCAACTATTTGAAAATAGAGCTGTACTCGGGAGGAACCCCTCTTAACAGTGTTGCAATCCGCGTTTTATTCCGATGCTCCGTTGACGCGCTATTCAAAAAGTCCCGGAACTTTTTGATCAGCCCTTGTATGCTAAACTGTAACAATACAAAAATGTATACGATTATTATGGACTAATTATGCAAAATAAAAACTATTGTATTAAATATACTTTATATTTTATATTTAAAAAATGGGTATTTATTAAAACAATTATACAGGGTGTGTTCTAATACCCGTATGTCCCGTAGATGGCAGATAGACCGGGGCAAACTGAATAGAAAAGTTCTATACCATTTTGCAAAATTCGCAGTAGTTATCGAGAAATTAATTTTAATGTCTGAGCGAGTGAGAGCGTAGAAGGCTGCAGGCCGGACTCGGCAGGCAACGGTGGGGCATCATCTAATAGCGAGAGGTGGAGCGGCGCGTCGAAAAAAAGTTGTCACGCAGCGAGGAGCAAGCGGGGAGTGTATACTGAAGCTCGCCGCTCG